AACAGGATCCCCAGGTATCATTCATCTCATTTAGAAAAGGAATATTAAACACCTAATCTAAGGAAAACAAATCGTTTAGCTCTAGTCCCAGAAACAGGCTGAAATGTAGGTGTACTTTGAGTGCTGTGATAAAGGGATGAAAGCAAGCCTTGGATGTGTGTGTGTGTGTGTGTGTGTGTGTGTGTGTGTGTGTGTGTTCTGTATCATTGGTAACATCTTCTAGTAGCTTTCCTATATAGCTTGGAAATTTTGCCAGCCCAAAGACAGTCAGAGCTTTTGCACTTGGGAAGAGATCCTTACTCCATTTTAAGAACATCAGTTCCACCTTCAGTTCCTGAGAGCACAGGTTTTCCAGCTTGAGAAACGAGTCACTGTTGGAGGCTAGCAAGCTAACGCCAGCAACTCTGGAAAGCAGAGGCTTTTTTTTTTTAAGATTCCCCTGTGCCAACATATCCAGAAAAAATGTGGCAAATTTCTACAACAATCTCAGGAGAATTTTCTCTTTGGAACAGGACTTTATTGAAAAACACTTCGCAAATAAAAATAAAAATAAAAAAGGACCAGGAGGAATCTCTGGTTCCTACTATTCTAATTTCCTTAAGTGCAGGGACTTGATCGTACAGTTTCTCTTTGTATAACTGCATGACAAATAACAAAAATTGCTGTGGAGAGCAGGAAACAGAGCATCACTAGGAAACTTGAACTGACATTGTGAAAAATGTGAACACAGTTCTGTGTCTAAACATAATCAGAAATTACAATACCCTTGAAAAGTAACCAATGCACTCTTTATATTATGGGCAACAAAAGGCTGCATTTAGGGGAATGCATGTTGCCTTGAAGCCTTTTATAGAGACCATAATAATACTAGTTAACATTTATTACTTACCAGGTACCTTTATATGAACCATCATAATCTCACTTTATAGATGAGGAGGAGCAGACAGGGTTCGGGACTCGGTGAGAGTAACAAAACTATTATAGCAAGTGCCACTGCTAGGCCATCCGGTCTTAGAGTTTGAGCACCTAATCCTTGCACTATGGTATTTTATATGGCACTTTCGTTTCTAATTAGATTACATTCTGTTTGCCACAGAATATTAATTTATAAAAAGAAGACTACGTTGAAAAAAGAACTCACTGTGGCCTTCCGGAGTCCCAATGGTGGCTCACCGTGGCCTCCTAGATCCCCATCCTTTCTTCCTAAGGCTAGTAGCATTTCCATGCCCTCAAGCTTCGTATTTATTTGCAGAGAAAATCTGATCGGTTACTGCTTGGCTGATAAGCACACTGAATGCCTTCAGATTCAAGTCCTCACAAGAATCTTTGTGGTCTGATTCCTACCTTTCAGGTATCTTCTCATTTTTTGCCACTGTTCCCTTTGTGATTCACACTCCAGTAACGCCACATTGCCACTAATTCCTTGTGGACAGGAGGCTTTTCACTCCCCTGCGTCTAGGCCCATGCTTTTACCTGTGTCTAGACCCTGTCTTCCCCCTGCTTCTACCTACCTGGGGGCTCCTGATCACCACTCAAATCCTAACTGTGCTTCTGTCTTCTAAGAAGCCTTCACCAATGAGGTCGCCCTCCCCTTCCAAGCAGACCTGTCCGCTCTTCCTTTCCATAGCCTCCTTATCTGGTATGCATTTCTATTATTGCCTATAAACACCCTGTACTGTGCTTGTTTTTCCCGTTAAAATATACTGAATGCCTTCAGGCAGTAAGATTAGTATAAGCAGCACAGGTCTGACCCTATGATTAACATGGCATTTAATAAAGTTAGCTGTTTATAAATGATGCTTTTACAGCTTCACATGCTGCACAATTTCCAAAACAAACAAAAACCAAAATAGAACAAATATTTCATGCAATTCCACAGAACTCACTCTAAAATCACACTCAATCTTTTCCTACTAATAGAGATCACAGTCCAAGAATACCCAGGTGGCTTTAGGTTATATTCCCTCTGATACTTGATCACATTCCAACAAATTTTAGCAGATATTTTACCTTCACTGTTGGTGCTTCATTGAAGAAGTCATAGGCTTTTGGCCTCTCTAAAACCTTCTCTGTGTGGAAAACTGCTCATACCCTTATGCCAAACCTTTACTCACTTTTCAGAAGAGTGCAGTAATTTCCTCATCATCTTAGTCTGCTTCTGATTTACAATTTATATACTTAAGATATCATCAATAGTTTTAACAACATGAAGTTCAAATCTCCACTGTCACTAATATGACTATATATGGGTGTGTATACATAATACACACATATGTATTTTTAATCACTAGAAGATATGATGATATAATTATTTCGACTTCTAGGTACATCTGGAGGTTAAGTGTACGAACACAATAACAGAAGCTTTAAAGTATAAGTCACTCCCGACAGTAAATCAAATCAGGCGTGTAGAGATTTACATTAACTCTTCTTTGTCAGGAGAGTGTGAGAAATGTAGCACACACTAACTCACTGGCAGGTACTGGAGGATTTAACATAGTGCTTCTACTTGTGAGGTTGAAAAATACAAAGGTAATGTTTTGACATTCTAAAGGAAAAAAAAAATCACACAGTGCTGTCTTTCATGCTCATCGACTGTGTCCTTTTTTCCCCCTGTTCCCTTTTCTCCTTGGAAACATACAAGCTTACATACAGCTTTATGTAGTCTATATAAAATTTTATGATTAGTTATTTTTGTTGTTATACCATTTAATTAGTTCCCTATTAAGGGTCATTTGTTAATGTCCCAGTTTTTCATATTAACAGTTAATGGTATATAATTAACTGTGGATATATAGCTCATTTAAAAACAAGGAAACAAAAAATCTTTTTTTAGAATAAAAGCCTAGAACAAGATTTTAATGTCCTATATAAAATGTATATAAAATAGTCAAGTTGCTTTCCAAAACATTGCACTATTTTACAAAGCTCCCCAAACTGTACCAGATTCATCCAAACCCTGGCAGTCCTGGGCTTTATAATTCAATTTCCACTCACCTCTAATTTAATAAGTGTATAATGCTCTCTCATTGTTTTAAGTGAGCTTTGATGTTTTCCCATATGTTTATTTACTATTCTAAGCCATGTATAACTTAAGGCACAAGATAACATCTACTACTACAGAATGAATTAATGAACAAATTTTTTTGTTGACATTTTCATTATATTACAATAAGGTCTATGAATAACAGGACCAGTAATCGTTCTACCTCAAACCTCATAAATACCTTCTTTCATAAATATTGTGCTAAAAAAAGGGAAAAATGAAAAATTATAAAAGTTTCTCATCACTCTCTTACAGTAAAGAATAACTATGTATTTATATATTGACCATCAGTACTATTTAATTATCCCAGGATTAAACAAGTTACAAAACAAATTCCTCATTAGTAATTAATTTAATTAAATAATTACAGTAATATATTTTAAAAGCTAGTATATATCATCCACTTCCCTAGGACATCAATGCAGTATCCACTAGGAGGTGCTACAAAGCTAAGAGGAATTAGGTTGAAAAGTAAAGTCTATACAGGGTTCTATACAGGGTTACAGACAGTGGTCGGGGAGCATATACGGGTATGACCAGCTACTTAGTTGTGGTGGCCAGGGAAAGCCTTCCTTGTCTGTTTAGAAAAATTATGGTCTTCTCAATGCTTTAGAAGTCAGCAGTCTTAGAATCTGCCTGTTCCACTGATACCAACACAGTCAATTTTTAGAGCAGATAATTTTCTTTGTTCCTCAAACACGACCATTATTTATTCTTTTGTTTTCAACAAAACCTTGTCTTAGCACTACATCCAGTTAACAACTTCAAATTGGGTTCTGTTCCAAAAATGAAAAGCTATTTATATATAACTCAAAGCATATTTTTAATATAAAAACAAGTTTTATTTGGATGTTGGGTTCATGAGCTAGTCCACAGGAGCTTGTTTAATTGATAATATACCTGATAGCAGTACTGATCATAATTTTTTCAATTACATAAAATTATTCTTTCCAACACCTTTTTCCAGAGGAAGATGCATTTGTTGTCCCAGTTCTAACTGCTGAGAATCTGTGGAACCTCTCACCACATGAGGCACTCGGCAAAGGCCCCAGGGGACGTTTCACAGGCAGAGATGGACATATACTTGTAGACATGGCTGTGGGATAGAAAGCTAATGTGTCTGGAGAGGGAAATACATCAGGTTAGCTAATAGAAATATAATGTTAAATTAGAGAATTTAGGGGAATATGCATAAGTCAGCAAGACATAGTATAAAAGCTGACAGGCCAAGAAAACTGCTTAATATTTACATTCTTGTGAACACAAGAATGTGAACCTGGAATGAATGCAGTTGGAGTTGGACAACATGCAGCAGAAGGAGTAACAACCACCAGTCCTGGTTGCCTTGGGAACACGGCCACTTCCTCATGTTAATGATTCTATAATAAGAAAGGGAGCATTCAAATGAATAGAAATCAGGGGTAGAGCAACAGGTGTCTAGAGTAATGCTTTGCATGGGGTATCTAAAGAGTGGGTGGTTTTTGCATTAGTGCAGTGGACAATGGATGAGTTCAAGTGGCAACTATGCTTTATTGATAAAGCACTGACAGGAGCCTGAGTGTTTGAGAAAATTTGTTGCCTCTCCCAAGGGCCTGCTTATAGTAACGTAAATAAATTACTAGCCCCTATACATTCTGACAATGCTGCCCGGAAGGAATCCCCTAACAGGAGCAAGTAAGTAAGATAATACATTGGAAAGCCAAAGAACCCTAAACTCAGCTTAAGAGACAGCACAGTAGGATGCATAAGAGGATGTGTGTATAAGAGAATATACCCTTCAAAATAAAAGTTGTTTCCCTAGTAGTCCCAAATTAAAGGAAACAAAAGCAGTTGTTTCCTGGTGGGTAGAGGATGTGGTGAAGTCTTCATTTTACTATGTAGATAATAGTAAGTACAGACATTTTAAACAACATAGTATTGAAAATGTGCTTAGCTCCAACATTTCAAAACTTACCTCTAAAAGCACTAATATCCCCATAATGTACTTGCAGTACAAAGTATTTACTTCCGGTCTCTCCTCCAACTCTGAATCCAACACCTAACGATTTACAAAAGAAGATGAATCAGTATTTTAGAAATGGAAATCTAAAATGAAGCTAATTCCAGGTTTCTATGACATCCAAAGGGAAATAAAATAACACATTGCATATGAAATTATGTTACATGAAAATGAAAATAAACTAGGCATTCACTGAAAACTTCTAATATAATCTATCAATCCTTCTCAAAGCTCTGATAGAATTCTACAGTACATGGTTTCCAATTCAGAGCCAGAATAATCACTTACACTTGAAGAAGACAATTCACTCATTTTGAAAGAAATAGAACAAAGCAAAACTAAATTCTGTCCTTGATTATATAGCAGACATACATAAACCTATTCTTTCATTTTATCTTGTATATATTCATATCTGTTTTTATTTTCTGATTGAATCGTAGGAAATAGATTTCTTAGGAAATAGATTTCTTAGGAAATCTCAGAGGAATTATTTTTCTTTCCATATGAAAACAGATATCTGCAAGAATGTCACTGAGGAAACCGTTACCAACTAGATTACAAACTCCAATATGCCAATAAATTTTTGGACTCTGAAGGGTTCCTAATAGTCTTACTATTGGGCTGTCGGAAAAGTCATGACGCATTTTTGCAATGAGAAACATAGAAAAAATACGTCATGACTTTTCCGACAACCCAATATTAATACAGCTTGCTAGTAAAAAAAAAAAAAAAAAAAAAAATCTACAGAGAAAATATTTGTAAGTGGAGAAAAATTTTTTTATATCTGCTCTACGAATGGATCTTTAAAATGTCAACAAATCTATGACAGACCCTCTTATTAGTTTCCAAACTTATTTGGTCATAGTTGCCTGGCAAACTATAGAAAGGATTCTGAGGCTCATTTGAAGCAAAGCAAACCAGACATCAGTTAAAGCTGACCTGAGTTAGGGAGGCAAGAGGGGAACGCGTGCTTCACACTAGGCCATCCCCAAACCATGGCAGACCCGCTCTGTAACAGAACTGTACATTCCCTTTGGTATTAAGAAACATTCAGGTAATAAAAGAGAGCCTGGTAATTCACTCACACGTTGGAAGCTATGAACAGCTCAGAAGTGAAGTCAGAAAGCCAACTGAGGTTTGGCATCACATTAAATACCCAGGTTCCAAGACTATAAAAAATAAAGTCTATCTGCTGACACAGCAATTTATTTAACTCCTAGCTCTCTTGGCTCATGAAATGTTCCTGCTGTCAAGAGCCAGTGTGCTGTCGGCCAAAAGTGGCTTCAAGTATACTCGGTTATTTTCTATCTAAACTGTTGTGTGGGCACATTACTTATCAAAGGCACAGAAAGAGTAACTACCTTAGTGAAACTATTTTCAATACAAAGCAGGTGATACAGGTATTTTTTTAGTGTGAAATTGCAAAACGGAACATTGTCAACAACTGTTGGAAAGGACTTATCATAAAAAGTACTTAGGAATCAGAAATTAAGCAGCTTACTACGTACCTTTGGGGAGTCTGGTAGGGGGAGCGTTTCTTGCCCAGGCATACAGAATATTGGATTTATCTATACAGGTTCCTTCATCACAAAACCTGAAGGAAAAACAAAGGAGCTATAAATTAAGATTCAAGTAGTAAAATGCATACATCACTCACCATGGGGGGGAGGAGGAGAGGATATGGGAAAATATTTGAAAGCAAAGCAAAATACTACATTAATATATTATCATTGTAGTCATAACAGCTTAAGAGCCTAATGAAGACTGGCACAAAGAATATTTTTGATGTGAAAAATAGCACATGCAAAGGAAGATTTTTTTGTTTGTTTGTTTCTTGCCCAATGTAAAATAATCCTGTGTGGTAGACATACAATTTCTAATTCAATATGTTCATATGTGGAATGCACACTATGTAATCAGGTGCAAAAATAAGCATTGAGTCCACACAAACCAAAGCTAACGCAGAGGACATCTAGAAGTAAACTAAAAGAATGTCACACCTTTCCCCCTTGGGGATCAGTATTATCAATTAGTCTTTGGCTGCTGCAACAAACGGTACGTAACGCCTACCCTCAGTAGGGTGAACAATACTAGTATATCCCACTTAACAGGTTCTTAGTGTTATATATATATATGACTTTTTTTAGTTTATGAATATTGGTTGTGTCACAAGTTCTTTCATGTCGTGCAAGTTAATCTCACAGTCTCAGTTTTCTGCCTTGTAAAACAGAGGCAGTTATTCTTACCTCACAGAGTTATTCTGTAAGTCAAATGAGATATAAGTGAAAGCACTTTATGGACCTCAAAGCACTATTTCAGGGTAATGCATTATTTAACAAAATGTCCTAGTTATCTAAAAATTCAGCGTTGAGAGGCAGTGTTGGATGGTAAAAGAAGCAAAGGCAGAAAGACACATCCGAGGTTGAATCCCAGAACCTCCACTTAACAGCCGTGTATCTTGGGCACGTCCATAAGCCCTAGAAGGCCCTTAATGTATGAAGATCTATCTGATAGGGCTGTGGTGGTGATGTGCATAAGGCACCCAGTACGGTAACTAACACCTTGGTACCTGCAGTAGCAGATCCAATCTCATAAATGGTAAACTGTGGGACTCCAAGCCACAGTTTGTTTTTTCCCCATTTACACTATACTTCTCAGTTTGTTCTGTTATAGAACTGGGTTTGTTCAAAACACCATTAGGTGATGTTTTTATGCTGCTTTTATATATTTGTGTTTCGGGAACTTGGCATCAAGCAAGGTCAGAGTCAGAAGTTTATCTGAAAGGTTTGAAGACTATCAAGGACAATAACAAACGGCTTCTTGGGCAGGAGGTTGGCACACATAGGAGAAAATGTGCACTGCCCATGGCCTTGAAGGGAAGAGAGGGCCGACCATCGTGGCTTCCTATACAGGTTAGAAACTGAGGCTTGAAACCTAGAGAACTGCCAGGTCACAGATAAGAAAATCACCGGTAAGAAGCACCTTCACACTCAAAAAAGGGACTCCTAACATGTTCCCTGCTTAGAGGCAATAGTGAGGTGAAAGAACAGGCAGAAAGTACAGACAAATGTTATCTATCTGAATAAAGGGATGAGGAACCAGGAACTAGGACGTCCTCATAACGTTATGTTCAGCAAATATTCTTGCTGCTATCAATCGGGCTGCAGAAAGAAACTGGGTCGCAGTGCGCAATGTAAAACACATCACATAGTGGTTTCTCATGGTTCACTGTCAAGAACAATAATATACTTATGATGAAGGATCATTACCATGTGATACTAGTGCGTTGGAAAAATTTCTATCACATCCTTGTGCCAAGTGTGCTAAAAGGCTTAGGGTATTGGAGAGTAGCCAAAAGCAGAATCTTCCTTCATGGCCTCATGCTATCATGGTTTAAGAAATGAGATTGTCAGATGTGATGAACTTTGTATCTCACTGCTGTCAGCTACGAAAATTTAAAGATCTAGGTGGCCATCTTCATAGCTTTCAACAAAGATCATAAATACACAAGTGCCTAACATCGGTGTGATGACAGTCTTAGGTTAAACAAGATAATTATTTCCTCTGATATAGAAGTCAATTCAGTGTATGCACAGAAAGAACCAGAATGAAATATAATACAGAAAACTGGTTTAGTAAAATTCTCTAAGCTACATATTTGATTATGTCATTTGCTGGCACAAACACTTTCCAATACTTCCCCAAAACAACATCACAATGAAATCCAAACATTGTAGCGTAAGGCCTTTCATGATCTGGAACTTTTTTATATCTCCAGAAAAAACAAAAAAAACAAAACCAGCCTTTTTAGTCATGCCAAGTTGCTGCCAGCTTCTAATCTCTCTCTTCAATACTTTTTCCCTTTGCCTGGAAAAACCCTTCCCCAGCTCTCCACCTGACAAACTTGTCCTACTCACCTTCTCCTTCAAGAGTCTGTTCTGAGTCTTCCTCCCCAGGGAGGCTCCCTCTGAGTCCCATCCCATCCAACTTTCATTCTTCAACCACAGCGCGCATCCTAACTATCAGATAATTTTATCTCCTCTTCAACCACGCAGGGCACACTTTGAGGTGTGGGGTCGTATCTTTCACCCCAGACTCCCAACACTGGCTATCCTCCCTGGCATTCAGTAAATATTTGAGAAATATTTGGTGAAGTTAACCTCTAAGTATGTTTTTAACTTTTCATATACAAACACTTAAATAACTGAATTGGCCTGAATTTTATTGTACTGTCAAGTATAATAATTTTTTAAATTTAGTTAAGGTTAACTAAAATATTAAATCATAATAAATTTGAGTTGTTATTGCCTGGTATTTTGTCCAAATCAACTTACATTCACTCTCACAGGAACACTGAAAGTAGCTTATACTTTAAAGCTGAATAAGTTCAGAGAGCTTAAGTAACTGCTAAAGATCGCACAGTCAAACCATGACTCAAAGCTCTGGCTGTCACACTTCCTTCTATCTAAATATGTGAGACTGATTTATAGGCAGAGAACGATATTATATAAAGACGAGCTTTGATGACTACTTTCATATCTGAACTGAGATGCAATTTGCATATGCAATTCTAAAATCAAATTCTACATAAAATAAGTTCTTCTGACGTATCCACAAAGAGACAATGATCTTATATTTAATTCTCTTATCAGGTCTGGTAAAAGAAGAGCTTCCAAAGCAAACTTTGGTTTGATTTTTTTTTTAATCCTGTTTTATGATTTTTTAAAGAATGTATTCAACTCAAGACTGAGAAAAGAATGACTCACTGGAGGCAAGTGGGACATCGAAACTCATCCTAACACTTAATGAGTGAGAGGACTAAGTGAAAAGGAAAAACAAGAGGCCAGGAGAAATGGATCCTGTAACGGATCACACAAGAGAGTGGCGAAGGGCATTGGGATAAAATCCCTGCTCCTTTTCATTTTCAGATTTCCATTTCCCATTTTAAACAAAAACGGCATTGCATTTTCTCCACATAAAATGACCCACAGGATAAAGCTGTTTATCACAGGATATCGCATATTTTGGCTTTCCAAAAAGGGACCTATAAAAATAGGAGTTTTACTATCTTTATGAATAAGAAGTCTTAAGGCTAGGAAGCACTGTAACCCTTGATCAGTGGTGTAATTTCAGGCAGCATCGACCAGGTTCCTAATTCTTACAGCAGCTTCTCCTCAAGGCTCCTCCAGATTAAGCCAATTAATTGTGAAAAGATTCACACAGCTCCCTTGCGGTTTCTCAGGATTCATTTCAAAACTGATGAGAATTAACACTTGAAAATAAACCTATTCTGGACTCTTGAACCTTTGCTGTAGAACTCTTTCACCTCGAATCCATGGGGAAGCCATTCAGATGGCATGAATATTTTCAGAGTAGGCCAAGAACTGAAAAGTGCTAGCCTGTCATTTGGAATTATCCAAATAAAGCATGACTGACTGTTAAAAGTACTCTCCGGTTGTATCTGCTAAGGGCTATTTAAAATCCAAGGTTACTCAGGGAAGACCAGAACCGATAACTCGTTTCTCCTTTTGGCTAAAAACACATTTTTTTTAAAAAAATAATAAAATTGTCAGGCCCTCACGGTAAGTCTAATATGGCCTTCAATTCCAATGTTAATGCATTAAGTATCTAAGAGAACCATAGGGAAATTAATCCAACGTTAGAACGTTTCTTTAAGAAACACAACATAAAATCAATGGTATCTGTGGAATGTCCTCACCTTTCAAAATTGCCTTCAGTGAGTCAGGTATTCAAATTTCATTAACTGCTCTATAAACCCATAGGACATATTTCCCAATTCAGACAAATCCTATGTGAATTGCAATGCAATGGGTATGCGTTAACATAGTAACTAGGCGGATACACACTAGGAATGCTAAACAAGAACAGTGGTTAAAAAGCACCAGCCTGAAAAACAGTGCTACCATATCTATACCTCACCCCTACATGAGATTAGAGAGGCAATAAAGTCCATAAAAGCAGAGGGTGTGTCTGTTTTGTCCATACCAAACTCTCAGTGCCTAATAAAATGCTTGGCACATAGTGGATGGTTAATATTTTATTAACAAATGAATACAGATAATAGGTACCATTTATTAAGTACGTCCATGTGCCAGGCACTTGCCAAGCACAATATTTACATCCCCCCACTATTCATGATAGCCTCATTAGGCAAGGTTAATGTCCCCATTTTACAGATTAGGAAACAGCCCAATACAGGTTACATAATTGAATGATGTTTATTACAACTATCAGGTAGTAGAGCTCAGGTGGGACCCAAAGATGCTCTGATTTCAAAGTTGTGGTTCTACATTAATGTTAGAGTACTGTTGCTATAATATTGCTTTCATGTTCAACATAAATACTAGTCTTGTGAGGAAAAAATAATGTTCAAAATTATGTAATGTTTGTTTCTGTTGAAACTGTCAAAAATGTTACAACCATGACATTCTATTTTACTAAAGTTGCCGCTAATCTACTAGGAATTGACCAGTTACTAAGGAACGCCTATCAACACCTCTAATCCAGGCACCTAAAATTAGCCGAGAAACATGACCACTAGTGACTAGAAATTAGAACAAGATGCCAAGTGTA